CATCGCGGTTATTAATCTTGAATCCTGTCACTAGATACATCGTCCTCTCTCGTCCGTTGTATTCATAACCTACGTCTCGGTTACTAAACTTGAATCCTGTCACTAGATACCCCGTCCTCCCTCGTCCGTTGTATTCATAACCTACATCTCGGTTATTAATCTTGAATCCTGTCACTAGATACATCGTCCTCTCTCGTCCGTTGTATTCATAACCTACATCTCGGTTACTAATCTTGAATCCTGTCACTAGATACACCGTCCTCCCTCGTCCGTTGTATTCATAACCTACGTCTCGGTTACTAATCTTGTATCCTGTCACTAGATACATCGTCCTCTCTCATCCGTTGTATTCATAACCTACATCTCGGTTATTAATCTTGAATCCTGTCACTAGATACACCGTCCTCCCTCGTCCGTTGTATTCATAACCTACATCTCGGTTATTAATCTTGAATCCTGTCACTAGATACACCGTCCTCCCTCGTCCGTTGTATTCATAACCTACATCTCGGTTATTAATCTTGAATCCTGTCACTAGATACACCGTCCTCCCTCGTCCGTTGTATTCATAACCTACATCTCGGTTACTAAACTTGAATCCTGTCACTAGATACATCGTCCTCTCTCGTGCGTTGTATTCATAACCTACATCTCGGTTACTAATCTTGAATCCTGTCACTAGATATATGTCAAGGTCAGCGTTTCCACGACACTAAAAAAGTTGTCGTCGAAACCTGTTGGGTCAGTGAACAACACCAGTAATACAATATTTATTCACACATAAAAGTGTAAATTATCTGACTCGTGCCTATTATACAGACAATCGGGCCTCGATAAGATATTTGATAGTGAATCAAACCACTCGTTGCTTTATTTGTTTTACAGCAAATCCTATCAGCTCGGGGAATCGAACTCCGGATTTTAGCGTTGTAAATCCATAAACTTACCACTGTCTCACCGACAGACCCACTCTCTGGACCAGCAGAAAATATAATTAACATGCTAAACAGTGTCAGTTAAAAATCAAATAACATAAGTTTCTTAATTATCTTAAAAAAAAAAAAAAAGGCAGTTAAGAAAAAAGTTGAGAATTTGACAGAACAGGAAAAACAAATGAGAATTTTTGTTAATTTGATAATCCATGAAAGTACCGTACGTTCAACGTAAGGATCATCTTTACCTAAGCTACGAAAATGAAAGTTTTACAATACTACGTTTGCGCAAAGCTATCTGCACCAACTGTCACAATTTTGAACCAAAAAGGCTACAGGAAAATCAACTAGTCAACAGCATCCAGCGTCGATTGTAGGCCTGCGCTTGTTCGACCACATTGTGCGATTTGACAGTCACCCTTATAATGCACTCACAGCCCCAAAGTGAAGAACGCTTCTTTGGTTTTCCTTTCTAACAGAAATTTATTTTTTTAGTTTTTGTTAATCTTGTAAGTTTTTTCATAGTAGTTACAATTATTCACATACACACACACATACATATATTTGCCCTCTGTACATTTTCCATCAATAATACAGATACAAAATGAACTCGTTTGCTATGTATAGCAAGGTTAATAAACCTTACATGTTGGACGGCAAGATATCCTAGTACGAAAAATAAACATCGTCAAAGTAAAGATTTATTCTGCTCGTTTTGTTTTTTTTCATCGACTGCTTCACACGCGATGTAAAACGAACGGGTTCTTTGTTCTGTGGTGATCCCAAAATTCGTGTTTCCAACCAATGATAATTATCTTTAAACGGTAAGAGACAATACACTTAGTTTTTACTACTTATCAAATAACTTACAGATTAAAACAAAGCACGCTCGCTGTACGATTAACCGCACTAACGGGTGCTGCCATCTTCATTCAATAAGTTACATAACTTCTCCGTTGTCTTAAAAGAAAATTAAAAGCGAAATGAATGATACGGGTTTTGACAGTTTTATTAATGAAAATATCCACCAAACCAGGAGAATCAAGACTGCCAACATCGTATTCTGCTAGAGAGAACAACAACACAATGTTATTAATAAATATCTTTAATATCATTTTGGCCCAGCTGGAAAGAGTATTTTCTAACTTCAAGCATCACTAATTTTGGTGTACAACACATATTGCAACACTATATCTGGACCCCAAACATGAGCATAATCTTGGTCTACAAGACTTTAAGTTTCTTTGACTATTTTAAGCTACAGTAAAACTACTTTACGTCGCCTACATAACAATTAATTAATTAATTATACAATTAGTTAAACGTTCACAGATCAACTACAAGCATAAAGCGTTTTGTATAGAAGCGGTAGTACGCTAAACACTATACTACTAATCCCTATATAGTTGCTTTTCAACATTACTATCGAAATAAACCATAGTTGGTTGTTTATCTCAAGTGTAACCACGTTGAAGTTTGTTTTTATAATTCTATTAACAGAGTAAAACTATTTTAAAATTTAACATTAAAAGCTCACCAGCGTTCTTAAAAGATGGGGTGACATCTATTGAGCATTTCAGGTACTGCAGGTTTAAAATGAAACGTGATTATAAGAGATTGTCAAAGAATATAAAATGAATACATTTTATGGAAGTGAAAAAATAAGGGTAGTTACAATGGTGCATAAAAATTCATCAATAATGGGCATTAATATAAATAAAAAGTTAATTCAAGTTCACCTGTTAGTTTTAAATTTGAAACACTGCGACTGTTATAACATTTAGCTGGATTATTAGGCTAAAACATTGAATAGAATTTACTTTTTCCAAGAGTATATCCATTAATTTTGTATGATGACTGGCTAAGTAGAAACTTGGACATTCCTGGTTTTAAAAGTTATCTGAAATAAAGTCATTCCTCGTTACATTAAACTACTTCAAATACACAAGTAAAATAAGTAGTCTAACTTTCACATTGAATTTCATGTTAATATTAATTTTTAAATGGAATTGCTAAAGATCTTCTTTTAACCAGCCAAAATGTATCTAAATCTGTAATAAGGGCTTAAGAGGAAATCGTGATTATCTTCACATGAATAAACTATACCTCAGTTTTTATGAACTAATATTTCTGAGATTCTCCTCCTAAGCAATACTTGAAATTTTTAATAAAACCTAATTATATAAGAAATTAGTTCCAGTAAATAATTTAAAAAATATATATATCAAAAAAATCAACAAAAAACTATCCAAAACTTTAAATTAACAAACATCATGAATGCATATAAATACAGAAATAAATAGTTTTGAACTAAGCCTAATATTTTAAAGAGTTTTGAACTAAGCCTAATATTTTAAAGAGTTTTGAACTAAGCCTAATATTTAAAATATCACATTTCAAGATTAAAGTAGCAAAATATAAATTTAACAGTAGTGTTATAATAATATGTGCTGTACAAAGTACACACAAAACAAGAAACTGATAATATTGGTTGGGTGAACGAGAACAAATATCTAAAGTGCACGCAACTGTTCAACATCTTAATACCAACCTATCTATCATTAAATATACAGTAATGTTGATAAACTAAGGTCTAACTCACACTGAACTTCCGAACACATTACGAAATAATTCCATCGTGTAATATTAATCAGCATCAAATACTACTCTACCTTTTAAGCTGCTCCAATTTAACTTGAAAACACCTAGAAATGTATTATGTAATTATAAGCTCACACCCAATGGTTAGTTTATATTTGGCTAGTTTCATTGGCATCTATTATATAAATATGCACATCTTTTGAACATCATTTTCTACATGCAAGTTATTCTTAACAAAGCTACATAAGCAACAACACTTCATTTGTCTTGTCTAGCCACGGGTCTGCCATAGCTTTGAAGGCTACTGGAGACTAAACTTCCATAATATTCTTTTTCTATCTTATTTTAACACTTTGTTTTTTTTCTTCTATTTATGTACTAAATTTCTCTGCATTTTTTCCTTTACTACAAAGAAAACCAAATCATGAGGAGAATGAGTTACTAATAAAAGTCAATCTTTTACTGAGACAAAAATAACTTATAAAACCATAAAGGTTTACAAATCTGAACAGTGTGGCTTCATCCAGACAAGAACATGAGTAATTCCATTCACAGCTTCAAATCTGAACAGTTCATCCAGACAAGAACACGAGCCATTTCATTCACAGATTCTAATCAGAACAGTTCTTCCAGACAACAACACGAGCCATTTCATTCACAGTTTCTAATCTGAACAGTTCATCCAGACAATAGAGAACACGAGCCATTTCATTCAGTTTCTAATCTGAACAGTTCATCCAGACAATAAAGAACACAAGCCATTTCATTCACAGTTTCTAATCTGAACAGTTCATCCAGACAATAAAGAACATGAGCTATTTCATTCACAGCTTCTGATCTGAACAGTTCATCCAGACAACAACGCGAGCCATTTCATTCACAGCTTCTAATCTGAACAGTTCATCCAGACAACAACACGAGCCATTTCATTCACAGCTTCTAATCTGAACAGTTCATCCAGACAATAAAGAACATGAGCTATTTCATTCACAGCTTCTAATCTGAACAGGTCATCCAGACAATAAAGAATACGAACCATTTCATTCACAGCTTCTAATCTGAACAGTTCATCCAGACAATAAAGAATACGAACTATTTCATTCACAGCTTCTAATCTGAACAGTTCATCCAGACAATAAAGAATACAAACTATTTCATTCACAGCTTCTAATCTGAACAGGTCATCCAGACAATAAAGAATACAAACCATTTCATTCACGGCTTCTACAACTAATGTCCAAACGTTGCTGATCCTACCCACTCACTGCTGTTATTCCTGGATAAGGCCACCCTACCTTGCTGATTCTACCCACTCAATGCTGTTATTCCTGGATAAGGCCACCCTACCATCTCCTAATGTTGATACGGTATTGTCTAGATTAATAACCTTGATTTATAACAAAGTTTTACTAACTTTTATTTTCCCAGTTGAAACACTCTCCTGAGATATTATCTTTCTTTAGCCTGGTTATTGGATGAATTGTGATAAGAATAAGTGTGATCATTCTCCAATGGTTGCACTTCTTCCTTATCATGACGTGTTCCTACCCTTACATCCTCGTGAATGAAATCTCCCTCTGCTTGTTCTGAACCTGGACGAAGACCGGTGTGGTCATCTTCCAATGGTTGCACTTCTTCCTTATCATGATGTGTTCCTTCCCTTACATCCTCGTGAATGAAATCTCCCTCTGCTTGTTCTGAACCTGGACGAAGACCGGTGTGGTCATCTTCCAATGGTTGCATTTCTTCGTCACTACGAAGTGTTCCCGTCCTTACATCATCGTGAATGAAATCTCCCATGGCCGAGTGTCGGTCCATAGACATAACAGAGGATACCAGTTCCCCAAGGGTCATGGCCACAGGTTGTTCAATGTCTTTTCTCTGTTTCCAAGAGATGAGAACCCAGTCAAGGAAGAACAAACATCCTGAAACGACCTTTAACCCTGTACATACTCCAATGTACCTATAGATAAGTAAATAAAACAAGTTTAATACAATAAACTGCATCACTTGTATATAACAATGAAATAAGCATTTTGTAACAATGATGGAAATTTGTATGTAAAACAAAACCCGAGATGTCTAGCACGAAATTAAAAACTAAGACCTTTACTCATAACAACTTTCAACGATATAACCATATCAAAAATCATACCAATTGTTAATAAAGCATAAGTGGTATAACAGCAGCACCAAAAAGAAGATTAAATAGGGGTTAAGTGTTGGGTGCTTTAACCCATAACATCCAGACACCTACTACCATTCACTATCTGTAGCCAAATTTTAAGATTTTAAACATTACATCGTGGTAGAAATTATTTGGCTATTAAGAACCATCCGTGTCTTACCTTGTTTGGCTTACACTTGAACAAGGTAGTAGTGAGAGGAAAATGTGGGTCCAATTATTACATAATTATTTATGTAAGGTTTATAGTTCCTGTTACTTGGTAATAACGATCAAAAGGGTGGAGGTTGGGAGTCTAACAAGGGTAGATATTAAGGGTGGCTCTTAACAAATTAATTTCTACTATGATGTGATGTTTAAAATGTTAAAAGAGATTTTTAGGCGTGACTACTACACCCACAAATGGCTACAGATAGTGAATGATGGTAGAAGTTGGGACATTGTGGGTTAAAGCACCCAATACCTAACCCCAAACTGATCCTCCCCTGACAGCCATCTCAGTTATTTGTTGTTATTGGCTTTTTATTACATCTGGTAGACAGAATATCCCCAAAACTTTTGAGTGTTATAATACAGAAATTTTCCTTTTAGAAATGATACCTTTTGTACTTTATTGAAAATTGGTGTGATTTTTAATCTTTTTTTTTACGTAGTTATTTATTTATGAAATTTGTAAGTTTATATCACTTAAATTTGTTATGAGTAACAGTTTTAGTTTTGAATTTCATGCTAGACATCTTAGGTTTAGTTTATGTATACAAACACACAACAACAACAACAAACAACTTTAACACAGTACATACTTTGTATTCTGAGAAAAATATTAAGAACAAATGGTTACAAATGTAAAATGTGCATATTAAATCTTGTAGTTCTGAAATTGGGAGAAATCTAGTGATTTCTGCTTTACACAAATTCAAGGCCTGAAGTGGAAAGCCCTTAATATGTATTTTAAGATTTGCTTAAGTTTCTGGATTTTGTAGCATAATTCCATGTGTTTCAAGACTTGCTTAAGTTTCTAGTTTTTGTAGCTTGAACAGCAGAACAGTTGTGTGACATTACTTCTCATCGTAACACTTACCTGTCACTATTCTAGCAAGTATGATTACAGCAGAACAGTTATGTGACATTACTTCTCATCGTAACACCTGTTACTATTCTAGCAAGTATGATTACAGCAGAACAGTTGTGTGACATTACTTCTCATCGTAACACTTACCTGTCACTAGTCTAGCAAGTATGATTACAGCAGAACAGTTGTGTGACATTACTT